ACACTATGTGTGGAGAAAAAAAGGCACAGCACACCAACATCAAAACCTCATCCCCACTGTAAAACATGGTGGAGGGAGCATCATGGTTTGGGGCTGCTTTGCTGCCTCAGGGCCTGGACAGATTGTTGTCATTGATGGGAAAATGAATTCCAGAGTTTATCAAGACATTTTGCAGGAAAACGTACGACCATCTGTCCGCCAGCTGAAGCTCCGCAGAGGATGGGTGATGCAACAGGACAATGACCCAAAGCATACAAGTAATTCAACGAAAACAATGGTGCAACAGCACAGAATACGCCTTCTGGAGTGGCCTGACCTCAACCCGATTGAAATGCTGTGGCATGACCTTAAGAGAGCGATTCACACCAGACATCCCAAGAATATTGCTACACTGAAACAGTTTTGTGAAGAGGAGTGGTCCAAAATTACTCCAGATCATTGTGGAGGTCTGATCTGCAACTACAGGAAATGTTTGGTTGAGGTTATTGCTGCCAAAGGAGGGTCAACCAGTTATTAAGTCTAAAGGTTCACATACTTTTTCCTCCCTGCACTGTGAATGTTTACATGTTATGTGCAATTAAACCATGGCAACATCTAATGTTTGTGTAGTATTATGTTCAGCAGACTGTGTTCTTCTATTGTTGTGACTTAGATGATGTTCAGAGCACATTTTATGCCCAATTCATGCAAAACTCCATGTAATCCCAAGGGGTTCACATACTTTTTCTTGCAACTGTATATATATATATATATATATATATATATATATATATATATATATATATACATACACACACACATATATACACATACACTATATTGACAAAAGTATTGGGACGCTTGCCTTTACACGCACATGAACTTTAACTGTCTGCAGAATCATTAGCTAAAGACCTCTAAACTTCCTGTGGCCTTCAGATTAGCACAACAACAGTGCATAGAGAGCTTCATGAAATGGGTTTCCATGAGATAAACAAACGAAACCAGCGCTCCAATCTTCATGCAAACCAAGGAATTGCCAAAATGCCAACCGAAGAGGTGCTGCCCTTCTGAGATCGGGAAATCTGACCAATGGTGAATAAAAACAAACAAGGACACACTCTCATCGTGCATTACCGTGGTATAACACGTAATTTATTAAATAAAAAAGGATGTATACTCACAAACCAACGTGATTATGGGCAGTATAGGAGATCCACAAAAACAGTCACAATGCAACTGTGTCTAATGATGCGGATTAGCTGACGCGTTTCGGGAGCTGAACCCCCTTCCTCAAATGGGTTTCCATGGCTGAGCAGCTGCATCCAAGCCTTACATCACCAAGTGCAATGCAAAGCATCGGATGCAATGGTGTAAAGCATGCTGCTACTGGACTCTAGAGCAGTGGAGACATGTTCTGTGGAGTGATAAATCAAGCTTCTCTGTCTGGCAATCCGATGGATGTGTCTAAGTTTGGAGGTTGCCAGGAAACCGGTACTTGCCTGACTGCATTGTGCCAAGTGTAATGTTTGGTGGAGGGAGGATTATGGTGAGGGGTTGTTTTTCAGGGGTTAGGCTTGCCCTTTGTTAAAGTGAAGGGAATTCTAAAGGTGTCAGCATACCAAGACATTTTGGACAATTTCATGCTCCCAACTTTGTGGGAACAGTTTGGGGATGGCCCCTTCCTGTTCCAACATGACTGCACACCAGTTCACAAAGCAAGGTCCATAAAGACATGGATGAGCGAGTTTGGGGTGGAGGAACTTGACTGGCCTGCACAGAGTCCTGACCTCAACCCAATAGAACACCTTTGGAATAAATTAAAGTGGAGACTACAAGCCAGGCCTTCTCGTCCAACATCAGTGCCTGACCTCACAAATGCGCTTCTGGAAGAATGGTCAAACATTCCTATAGATACACTCCAAACCTTGTGGTCAGCTTTCCCAGAAGAGCTGAAGCTGTTATAGCTGCAAAGGGTGGGCCAACTCAATGTTGAACCCTATGGACTAAGACTGGGATGCTATTAAAGTTTATGTGCGTGTAAAGGCAGGCATCCCAATACTTTCGGCAATACAGTGTGTATATATATATTTTTTTCTTCCTTAAAGTGCTCTATTACTTTGTCAAAGACGTCTTACACTTATATATGATATTTACCTTGAATAAAGTCTTCTGTTGTTTCCCGCTGAATTCATTCTAATGTGTGGATATGGTGCTACTTAACTAATTCCTAAACAATTAACTTTAGCAGAAAAGGAAAAAAAAAGTCACCTACTTTTTATTGCATGTGAAATGCTAGACCTATTCTAGAAATAAAAGCATATGCAGTGCTACAATTGTTAAAGAGGGTTGATATTGTGAGCACAAGGTGCTAGAATCAAGAGAGGATAATTTTGGTGAGAAAATAGTATGCTCAATAGTGTTTACAGCACCAGTTTATCTCCAACTACCACAAGCCTGAAAAGAAGAGTACATTTTAACAGCAGTTAAGGTGTATTTAAAATATATTTCTTCTTTTGGAAGGGGTAAGAAATTGGTAAAACCACTGTCAGATCTTTTGCTGACCTGTGTCACATTCAAGACTTCTTTGACTTTCAACCCTATAGACACAACAAGAAAAAAAAGAAATGTCCCCTAAGTGAGAGATATCCCCTCTTGTCACCAGAGTATGTGTTATCATTGGAAGATATCCCCTCTTTTCCTGTGATAACTTAACTGCTTCCCACCGGATGTATGCATATAACGCACATGGCGTTAATGCCGAGTGTCTGCATATATGCATCCCTAGGTTAATACTGTACTGTGATGAAAGCATACTTCCTGTGCACTCCCAGCACAGTAACAAGTTGGTACTGGAAAGCTCCTGATGCATACTTGCGATAATGTGCTTTCTGATCAGGTAACCCCTGTAATTACCAATCAGAGCGGTCAGAAGATCAGAATACCCACCTCAGTTAATTAAGGGCCTATGTCAACAGGATTTTAATGTCAAGTGGTTTTTACATTCCTATAAAAGTCTATGAGAATGCAGACCCACTTGAAACAGCTCTAATGCATGTCAGAAAGAAGTCAACTGGAAGTCTGCCTTGGAAACCAGACCATCTGGACTTTTCTTCTCTATAGTGTCTCATGGTACTGGCATCAAAATAATTGTTCCCTTTCCTTTTCTTCTCTACCCTTTTACTTGATAACCGAAGGTTTCCAGTTGGTCTCAATTCTTCTTCAATTTTAGGATGGAATGGAACCTTTTGCCCACAATTAATACATCTTATTTCTAATAACTCATAACTCTCTCACAATTCCAATCCCTACACCCATATTGCAAAGGCCTCTGGTTGACCTGCACTCAACTGCGAAGCTTCTATCGTGCTCTATGCATGAGCCTTAACCTCCCTAGTGGTCTGATTATGTCCATATTTCTGTGCTGAAAGCGTTACATTTTTTTGCGTGGAAATATGTATTTTTTTATTGTAGGCCTGTAATTTTTAGGAATAACTCACTGAAATCTGTCCGAACAAGAGTCTAGTAAACATTCCGGGTAGGATAAAACTTGAAACACAAAATCATAAATTATAATTTAATAAATAATCATAAAAATAATAATAATATAATAATAATAATAATAATAATAATAATAAAAAATTCAATTCAATAATATAATAAAACCAAAAACACTGAAATTTGAAATACAGTGGGGCAAAAAAGTATTTAGTCAGCCACCAATTTTGCAAGTTCTCCCACTTAAAAAGATGAGAGAGGCCTGTAAATGGCATCATAGGTAGACCTCAACTATGAGAGACAAAATGAGAAAAAAAAAATCCAGACAATCACATTGGCTGATTTGGAAAGAAATTATTTGCAAATTATGGTGGAAAATAAGTATTTGGTCACCTACAAACAAGCAAGATTTCTGGCTCTCACAGACCTGTACCTTCTTCTTTAAGAGGCTCCTCTGTCCTGCACTCATTACCTGTATCAATGGCACCTGTTTGAACTTGTTATCAGTATAAAAGACACCTGTCCACAACCTCAAACAGTCACACTCCAAATTCCACTATGGTGAAGACCAAAGAGCTGTCGAAGGACACCAGAAACAAAATTGTAGACCTGCACCAGGCTGGGAAGACTGAATCTGCAATAGGCAAGCAGCTTGGTGTGAACAAATCAACTGTGGGAGCAATAATTAGAAAATGGAAGACATACAAGACCACTGATAATCTCCCTCGATCTGGGGCTCCACGCAAGATCTCACCCCGTGGGGTCAAAATGATCACAAGAACAGTGAGCAAAATTCCAGGACCACACGGGGGGACCTAGTGAATGACCTGAAGAGAGCTGGGACCAACGTAACAAAGGCTACCATCAGTAACACACTACTCTGCCAGGGACTCAGATCCTGCAGTGCCAGACGTGTCCCGACGCTTGCAGGGACCGGAACACGGAAGGCGGATGCTGGCATCGGCCGGAGGAGATGGCTGGGGACGCAGCAGGGGACACATCACGGGAGCGAAGGACAAGGTAAGCGCTGCAGGGATACCCTGAGCAATGCCGCATGGTAAGCCCGAGTGTAGCTCGGGGTTACCGCTTGTGGTACTGAAACTTTACCCCAAGCTACACTCGGGAATACCGCTAGGGAGGTTAATACATATAACTTTTGAAGAGCTACAGTATGTGTATTGAACACAGCCCCCCAATATATCATCTCATTGTTGTAAACTCTAGCTCTGACCAGGATTTCATCTTTCTTCTGACCCATGCCGAAAAGTGGGTCACAGAACTGGGACTTCCCATTACTGAAGAGGAATGGGATAGAATTTTTTTTACTCACACATAAATTCCCTATGTAAGGTTCAAGAACAGAACTTCAAAATATTTTTGAGATTATATCCAACACCTTTTTAGACTTATACCTAAAAACATTTTTTTTTAGTTTTGGAAAGAATGGAGAGAGATTAACACCTGTCAGGTTTTAAATTGCTGTCTGTGCCCCTGTTAGGTAGATTCATCTTCTCTGTTGTCACTGAAAGTGAAAGAAAATCCCAAATTTTGGGTTGTTCCCAGAAAAGTAATAAAGGGGAAATCTTACAATGGAAACACTGGTTCTGGTGACCCTGGTGAAAAAAGGGATTCCCTCATTTTGGAGAGATTCCCCTCATTTCCTATTCTGGCTATTGAACAGGAAGTGAAGGAAAATCTATCTCCCCAATGGGACACAAATGGCAAAAATAAAAAAAAAATTGACAGGGGTTATTAGAACCCTCCCTTACTTTAGCCTAGCCTAAAAAAAAAAAAAAAAAGTTTTGCTTTTAGTTCTACTTTAAATTCATATACCATCCCTGATATCTGCTGGAGATGTCAAATGACTCCCAGAATTATCCTCCACACCCTAATGTGGGTGAAGACAGCAAAATCAACTGAATCAGACTCCATCCACAACTGAAATATAATTTTTGGGTAGATTGGTCTTTAAGAAAGCAAATTAATAATACTACTACTGCTGCTAATAATAGTAGTAGCATTTGCAACAGGGTTGTCTGTAGATGTGAAATTAGTAGTTTGTGTTTCCTCTTTGAATATTTAAGTGTGATTTACAGCAGTGAGGCTAATAATATATCAAAGAATATTCCGTGGGGACCAGTAAACATTCATTAGGCTGCCGCCCAATTGTTTTTCAGAATCCATCACTGTATCCATATAAACTTGGAACCAGACTTGTTAAGTAGATGTTGGCTGCGCTTTCAATTTCAACAGTGCCAGGTCAGCCAACTGAGTGGGTAGTGGAGCAAAAATAAACGATAGGTTACATAAAAGAAACTGCAGCTGGAGACCGACTATGCTAATACCATAAAAAAAGTTAATATCCAGTATGAAGTAGAAGGGATCTCCCTTATAATTACTATGATCCGCCACAGGCTACAAGGGGATGGAATATTAAATGACTGCCATAATGCTGTATCTGGTGCATAATTACACTCCATAAGCAACTGTTACACACGCTGTTTTCTTCCTATTTGGGTCAGAATTTTGCCTTAACCCAGTTAGCTGCTGGAGGATACTGTAATACACATCCAAAGGAGATTTACAGAAGAGACCAGAGAGAGTAGGGATAATCAGAGGCAGAGGGACAAAGATAAAGTCCTACTGAAAGAGCTGTCACACTGCAGACAAAACAAACTAAAATTCTAATTGTAATTTAGCCCTCAGCATGTTGCAGAAAAAAGCAGGCCAAGTTGATATGCACAAGCTGTCATCTAATTCTAAACATTTTAAAAGGGACTGTCAACATAGAATTCTAGGAGTTGCCATTGCTGACTTGTTTTATTATGAAAGTGCAGACTCCGGGGCACTACTTGGTTCTTTTTGGTGAGATTTCAGCTCTATAAGGTCCCCCGGGACCTTTGATTTCACCCATATTAGGACTTGTTTACACTTTCTGTCAGGGATGGTAAAAATAGGTGGTTGAGTCCTTAGATGTGGTGGCTCGCAGGGGTGAACTGACCATTTGGAAACTCGGGCACTGCCCGAGGGCTCGGGGTCAGTAGGGGGCCCCATGAGATGCCCCTGGTACCTTTTTCATAGGCTTTTTTGAGTTTGAGCAAGGACACGGGCCCCATGATCCCCTATTGCCTGGGGTGGCTGCATTCGTTTTTATTTTCAGATTAAGAACTTTTTCAGCAAGCACAGAAAATATTGGCAAATTTTGCCAGAAGTGCAGTGTTCATGTCACTTCCTGTGAGCTGAACTAGCAAAACGATGTTATATTTCTTCTGTGAACTACTAATCACCCCATCCCCACATAATAAACAAAGCCAGGAATGTTTAAAGCCCAGCCTGGGTGACAACCATGTATGCCCCCGTAGATACAGTGGAGAACTGAGTGTAGTCAGCCAGGCACTGCAAATGTTTTATTTGCATGATTACCCGGGGAAAAAAGGGGAATAAGCCAGATAAAAGAAAAATGGAGGCACCTTATCTAAGAATAGTGAATATATTACATTTCGTTTTTTTGGTTTTAGATAGACTTTAAGTACATGTGCAGGCGTAAAAGTGAAAAAGTGAAACATTACCACAAGGTAATTTGTATGATCCAATAGAATTTATATACCTTTATGGAATATACCTATGCTGGCGGGTTTTTAAACTCTGTAGCAGGTGTCAGCAGTGGCCATCAGATTTGTACTCTGTATAAATCAATGGCAGGCACTGCTGCTGTTTGCATATAATTGCTCATCCAAGCTGTTAGCTGCCGAATACCGATCCTGGACGCAGCCAGTGTGCACCCAGGGTTAGCATTTCTGTGGAGTTTTGGCCACACAGAAGGTATTTGGCCAGTTTGTATGTGGCCATAGCAGAGGCTTCTGCTGCATCCAGATGTGGTGTTTAACGGCCTCTGAATGCCACAAAATATCCACACACAAACTTCTGTGTGAATGTAGCCTTAATTTACATCAGGAACTGCACCTAAAAGAATATTTTCTGTTCTATATGGACATGCCAGGGTTCATCCTCCTGGGTCTTTTTGCTTTCTATAACCCTTCATCAGCATGATTGTGACAGGTGAAGGTTATTGTTTATGATTAGCATCAGGGGCGGACTGACCATTCGAGCACTCTGGCACTGCCCGAGGGCCCGGGGTCAGTAGGGGGCCCCATGAGATGCCCCTGGTACCTTTCATTGGCTTTTTCATAGGCTTTTTTGGGTGTTTGGTGATGACACTGGGTCCCCATGATCCCCTATTGCCCAGGGGGCCCCATGTGTTGTCAGTCCGCCCCTGATTAGCATATTGTATCAGCTATTTTAATAAACTCTCCTTCTACACCTAAATCTTTTTCTCCAATGTCATGTGAGGTATTATATTCCAAATTCCAAATAGCTCCTTTCTTTTTCTTTTCGTATTTTGTTAACCTTCTCTCTAGTCACTATATGGAAACATACAGGCTATTCTTTGGAGAAGAATAAAATGAAATGAAATCATTCTAATGGATACAGCAGCAAATGTAACTTCATTAAATGAGGCCCAAAGGGGCCAAAGAGTCACCCTGAATCACACAAATACCCATAAGGAACCCTTCATTACTAGAACAACGTGACATTCATTTTTGTAAAAATCCCACATGGATGACAAACTGGTGAAGAGGCAGGGAACAGCTCTGCCCAATGGTCATCCAATACAGGCAACGCTAGGCAGGCAGCTGTGCACATGTACATCAGAGGAAAATGAGACCCAGCAATACAGATCAATACCTGTTTTATGAGCAAGATTAAAAAAAATGCCTTCTGAAAGCAAATCAACGCATACAAGCCTCCTAGGCCTCATTTGCACAACTGTAACGATTTACACAGGTTCTTGTTGTCAGCTGTCAAAGAGGAAACGTAAATTTTCAGCATGCTGTTTGTGTAAAGAACTGGACAAAGCTGCATATTTTGAAGCTTTTACATTTTTCATTCGTTTTTTTTTTGCTCAGTCAAATAAAAGAGCACTGGACCAGCTGCGTAACCATTAGAGGATCTTTTATTGGACCTTGACTCAGCAGGCTCACAAAACAGGCTCAATGTACAGGAAAATGAGAAAACAAAATGTAATAATAATGTTCCTTTTTTGTAGAGTACAGTGTACATCGTCTCCATTGTTTAACATATGTTAAGTTCACACAATTAAACCTCTACTGTCGCTAGGGAGAACTGGCCATAATCTCCAAATGCAGGCGCTTGTGGGTGTTTTATTCAATCAGTATGCTAAACAGCTGGCATCACATAAATACCTTGAAGGCACCCTCTGTGCTTACTTATAAGTGGTCATTTTGTGAGCTCTTGGTACTCAAGATCTGGACAACAAATATGTAACAAGTTTGTCACAATATCATGCAAATAGCTATAACTGCAGCTCCTATTATCAGCCAAACTGGCAGCCAGTTCATCTAGCAGGGTGTCTCAACACCTCCAGTATCACTGGAAAATATGTACCAATATTTCCATATTTTGGGCCAATTGAAAAAAAAAAAAACGTGTTCTTGGTGATTGTATCACTCAAGCTATAGGCTTCATGCACACAGATGTTTACTGGCTTAAGTTCTCAGCATAAAATTCATAGCACTTTCCTCTGCCCATGGAGCTGCACACAGTTGCCAATACAGGTGAATGGTTGTGCAAGGCCATATTCGTGTAAAAGCCATTGCTTCTGCAACTGCATTTTCCAGCGCAGGTCTGTACAGTGTATTTACCCAGATGTAATTGTCAACCTGTACTACCTCACAGGCATTATAGGAAATATTCCATATAATCATCTTAGGAAGGAATTGCATAAAGGGTGAAGAGGAACCATGTGATAATCCTGTTACTCTTTTCAGAGCCAACAGATCTACAGTGGATATAAAAAGTCTACACACCCCTGTTAAATTGTCAGGTTTCCGTGATGTAAAAACATAAAACAAAGATAAATAATTTCAGAACTTTTTCCACCTTTAATGTTACCTATAAACTGTACAACTCAATTGAAAAACAAACTGAAATCTTTTAGCGGGGGGAAGTAAACATAAAAAACTAAAATAATGTGGTTGCACACCCTCCTATAACTTGGGATGTAGCTGTGTTCAGAATTAGGCAAGCACATTCAAAATCATGTGAAATAGGAGTCAGTACACAGAAAAAGGACATCTTGTTCAGTTTGACATGCCTGTGTTATTATGTCCATTGTAAGTATGATACCTATTTTTGTTTCTTTAATAAACTATTTTAAATGATAATGCACTAGGTCGGTGTGCCCTTTTTCTGTTTCTCCATTTGTATCCAGTGTATTCGGACCACCTCGGTCTGTTGAGGGCAGCAAGCAGTGCATATTCCAGAAAATTCCAGAACATTCCTATTGCGTCTACTGAGTCCTTTCCTAGCGCAGGAGTGTTTGTTGTGTAGGAGTCAGTACACACCTGCCATCATTTAAAGTGCCTCTGATTAACCCTAAATAAAGTTCAGCTATTCTAGTAGGTCTTTCCTGACATTTTCTTAGTTGCATCCTACAGCAAAAGCCATGGTCCACAGAGAGCTTCCAAAGCATCAGAGGGATCTCATTGTTAAAAGGTATCAGTCAGGAGAAGGGTACAAAAGAATTTCCAAGGAATTAGATATATCATGGAACACAGTGAAGACAGCTATCATCAAGTGCAGAAAATATGGTGCAACAGTGACATTACCAAGAACTGGACATCCCTTCAAAATT